ACATTAGTCAATCCCTGATAGAATGAAGAACCAAAAAACAATATAGCGTTGGGAGACCCATTTACAAAAACTGGCAGCACCTGGGGTTTAAGATCTAGTCAGAGAAGCAGAAATGTACTTCCTTTCCTTTGCTCTTGACCCAGAGGAAGGCTTGAGCCTGAACTTGATCGAAAGTCTTTGTCAAATCCATCGATTTACCTCTAGAGATTACCTCATTCCTGGTATACCATCTGGTTCAACATACTCTAAAACACACTCATTAAAAAACTATTATTTTCAAATTTGAATTCATAGCGGGAAAATTTCCAAAGACAAGCATGGATTAGGGGGAAATCTGTAAACACTATGTTCTCCTTTTTTAGTTGGTGTAATTTCCCTAGTTTATGTGTACAAGAAATCACTAAAAACTAGATTATGCTGTCAGACATTCAGTTTTTGATTTTTGAATGTCTTCTTAGGTGATCTCTTATAATGTCTCATGGAGATTGTGAGTAGACTACCCCTTGTACTCCTCATCATAATAAAATATTTTGATTCATCGAAAAAAAAATTTTTCCAAAGACAAATTTTAATGGTTGAACCAGAGTGTATTGTGCAGTGTGTTGAACCAAATGATGTACCGATTATTGTCCATATTCTTAACATCGTTGTTCCACTTGAAGAATCCCAAACCTAGGTCTATAATTTTTAACAAAGAGCAAGAATAAGGATGGATTTTAATGATTTGAGCAAGGAGTTGCCTTGCTTGGGACTTGGTTTTGGAGGTTTTCTTAGAAGAATTCTGAGATGGGTTTGTGAATTTTGCCATGGGGATGACTTCTTATAATTGTTTTTTCACAAGGGATGAAAAATGTTCCTGTTAATCATGAAGAAATTTGTTAATTTTGTTTTGAACTTCCAGAAAAAAAGAAAAAAGAAAAAAGAAAAAAGAAATGAAAAAGGATTCGTTAATATTTAGGAGTTTTTTTTTTTTTTCTAATTTATTGAAGATAAATGTTATAGAAGATTGTACGTTGATTGAATTTTCCAGATTTAAACCCAAATATATGAATTTTGCCTCCACATTGTGGCCTTCTAGTTCGCTAGAAAAGTCCGCCACTGATGGGGAAGAAGACTAGTAAAGCATGATGTTTCTTTTGTTATTGTTTAATTCAGCCTTAATTAATAATTAACCAAGCCTTAATTTTTTGGGGAAGGAGAAGTCAAATAAAAAAGATTTTTAGGTGGATCCTGAGGATGAGGCAAGCATGAAATTGTGTAGGACAGGTGGAAACTGTAATGACAGTCAAAAAATGCTAACTCATTGTCTTTCTTGTGGTCTTTTTCACGTCATTAGTTTTTTTAAAAGTATGATGGATTTTTTTGTAACTTAATATGTCATTTATCATTTTTATTGATAGAAAGGTGAGTTTTAACACTAAAAATTGATGTTTAAAAATAATTTTAATACTTTTTAAAATTTAAAGATGAATTTAATATAAAATTGAGGAACTAAATTAATATTTAAACCAAAAGGTTTTGTGCACAATATTTTCTACACAATATCTCTCACAATGTGATGTTATAACTAACTTAGCATTATGTACCAAAAAAAAAAAAACTAACTTAGCATTAGATAAGTTACTCTTTTATTTGAAGAATTATGTATATTATGCATTCACTCATTTATTGTTATTTACATTGTTTGACGTAGCATCTCCTAGTTGACAATTGAAGGGGCTGGCACATGGTGGAGGTATTTTCTCTATCCGAAGGTAGCATATGAATAAATGGAAGATACACGTCCATTCATTTTGTGTCATTTTTTACAATCCTATATGCATATATGGTTTAAGAATGATGATTATTGTTTTTATTAATTTATATATTTAATTACTACTGATATAAAAGAGGTATTGTCGATGATAATAATATAGTTAAAATTGAAAAAGAAATTCACAATTACTTATACTTCCATGGATAAAACAAATAATAATTGGAGGATATTATTAAGGCATGTTTTGGCCTAAAACTGTTGAACACTTACATGGATAAGTGCACAAGACATGTTGAAAATGGGATGGGTGGAGTGAATATTTCCACCCAAAAAGACAAGCAATAAATACCCTAGAATGGTCTTTCGAAAAGATATTCCAACTACCATGGTAGACATTAAGATGAAAATTAACTAATGATGTAGTTTTGTTTCAAATTAAATGAAGAAAAATGTTAGGGTTTCAGCTATGACGCTGAGGTAACAAAAAATAAAGCAAATATATTTGTAGAGATAAATGAATTAGGCAGACTAGTTTTATTTGGTGGGTATCAACTTCTATTATAAAAAATTAAGTTAAAAAATATTTTAAAATTACATCATTTTAATAAAATCTTCTTGAAAAAAATTAAAAGATTTTAATTTTTAAAGCAGGAGTGAAGCTATTTTAGTTTTTTTCTCATGATATTTTATTAAAATGACATATTTTTGAGATTTTTTTTTACTTAATTTTTTACAATAGAGACTAATATCTACTAGTTTCTTATTTAATATCTTAACTATATATAGAAGTGCTGTAAGAACAAAATTTTTCCTAAAATACTCAAA